AGAGAGAGAGAGAGAGAGAGAGAGAGAGAGAGAGAGAGAGAGAGAGAGAGAGAGAGAGAGAGAGAGAGAGAGAGAGAGAGGCTGGTGACAGAGAGGGGAGGTCCTTGGGAGCAGGAGGAGAGCATGTGGAGAAGGGAGGACGTTTAACTGGATGGTCCTCGGTTTGAGAGCTCCAGCGACACACTTTCTTTGATTGGGATTGTTAAAACGTAACATTGTCCGGAGCAGCACGTACTGACTGGGGAGGTTGAGAAGAGTAGGCTACCTCAACACGATATCTTCAGCATTTCTTATTGGGCATTTCGTCAGAAGTGAACATTTTCGATTTTCAAAAATCGAAATGCACTCTAAAAGAGTCTGAATTTCAAAAACGTATTCTGGGTCTGCAAAACTGGGCATTAAAATTGAAAAACGAAAAACAATTATGGTCGTTGTGCTGCGGGTCCCCTTTTCCATTTTTTGGGGTGGAATCTTTGGCCAAGATGCCCCATATTTACATTCTACGACAAATTTGAAAATTGCTAGCTTCTTAATATTTTTTGAACTTTTGACCAAAAAAAACAGTTACAGGGGAAAGACGAGCAACAAGCGGTCGTTTTCAGGGCTTAAACCACCAGTACCTTTGTCGGTTCGAAAATACTCGGCCTCCGACCTTTCAGGAGGCCGAAACAAAACGACGGCCGCCGATCAGATTGATGAATGTCGGGCTCGGCCTCCTGAAAGTTCAGGTACTGGCCAGGACTTGTCGAAACCGGACGCCAAAGGTACTGGTGGTTTAAGATGAGGATAGCTGGAAAGATAGTAGGCAGGTCCCCTCATTTTTGCTATTTTGTCATTTTGTTAATCCAGTTTAGTTTTTGTTCAGGAATAGCATTGCGATCAGACTTGACTCACTTCCACTCTTCATGCATGTAAGCAGTGATACAGCAAAGTGGCGACCTGCGCCCATACAGTACTCAGAGATATCGCAAACAGATAAGAGTTCTCTTGCAATTGGCTATGGCGGCTCTGCGCCCAAACAACTCACTGTTCACACTCTGGATCACCCTGGATGTCCCACTCGCATCACTCTGAACACTCACCCAGTACACACACACTGCACTCTACACTAAGCTATGGCAGCTATGGCTGCCGCTACCTATCGCTATGGCTACACTGCTTCCCTCTCGCCCACTTCGTCTTTGGGCCTCCTGCAGACCTCCTTGCACAAGACGCTGAGGCAGCGCTTCCGCATGGCTTCCGCATGAATGAATGAATGGCTGGATGCAGCCTCTTAATTTATACTTCTGTGCCTCGTTGGTCTGCCCTGTGTCCCCTGGCCCACGGTGCACACAGTCCTAACGGTACTTGCTTGACTGGACCGGACTGGGTGGACTGGGACTGCCGACTGGACTAGGTGGACTTCCACCACTTGACCACTTGCCTCTGCCTAACGTAGGCTGACTCCGAAAGGCCACTTCTAGAACTCTCTGCTTTGGCCTTTCGGTACTGTAGCAGCTACGACTTTGCCCTTTCAGGTAAGTAGCAGCTACGACCTTGACCCTTCGGACAGTCTACAGCTACGGCCTCTAGGACTGTCTAGACTCCTACCCGACAGGTCTACAATTCGAGTCCCTGCTACCCCGTAACCTACGAAATCCTACCTACCACTGGCGGTCCTACAGGTCGCAGGTTCAACTCTACGGGTTTACACAGGTATTAAACACGGGTAAGGTGGGGAACTAGGGGTCGAGCCCTGGGATCGGCATCGGCTACTGCGAACTGGTGAATACCGTTTCACTCCCGCCGGCCTAAATCCGAGGTCCTCCGAGAAAATTTCAGTCCAAGGCAGGACCTTTACCCTTCTGTTGTCTTTCGTAGGCCCGGACTATGTCAGGAGCCGTTTCTAGCAGTTCCGCCCTAGTGAACCACCGGTCATCTTCTGGTTCTTGGTATGAAAATCTGACTTTGTACTGTTTCTCTACCTCCTGTTCTGAACGCATCTTCACCTACAATACCGTCAATGTCGTATCTTCCGTCCATATCAGGTGGAATCATAGAGCGTCTAGACGGGAATTGGTCACTTACTGTGCACGGCAACAGTTTTGACGCATGGAAAGCTGGGTAGGTGTGGAGGTGTAGTGGAAGTTCAATGGTGTAGGATGGACCATCTTCGCCACCCTTGACTTCTAAAACGGGCCACGGTCCTCTATATGTGGGTAGTAACTTCTGCGAGATGTTCTCCTCAGGTGCAAACTCTTTAGAACTGACCCAGACTAAGTCGCCTACTTGAAACTGTGAGGGGCGACGATGCTTGTTGGCTTGCTCTATCATTCCGTGCTGGGCCTTCCTGAGGTTCTCCACAACAGCAGCTAGTTCTTTCTCGTGCTGTGCAGCAAACTCCCTGGTTCCGGGCGGTACCCTGCGAATCTGATCCCGGTTGAGTCCCTCAAACGGTCTACGCGGTCTAAAGGACTTGTGCAGTTCGTTGGGAGTGTGGCACATGGACAGATGCACACTGTTATTGTACGCACTAGCTACCTTTGGCAACATCTCATCCTAGTTAATCTGATCTGGTCTAATGTACATGCACAAAACTTGATGTAGGATCTTGTTCATTTGCTCTGTCTGACCGTTAGTCTCTGGATGGCGGCCGGACGACATCAACAACTTGGATCCATATACTCCCATGAGTTCTTGCCAGTTCTGGCTGGTAAAGCGGCTATCTCTATCGCTAACTATTGACAGTGGGATTCCATTCTCACTAACCCAACAGTCGAAAAACTTTTGTATCACTAAATCAGTACGTGCCTCTGAAGGCAAATGAACAAAAACTGCGTACTTACTAAAACGGTCAACTATGACCATGACTTGGCTCTTGCCATGCCTGCTCTTGACTTGAGTGTCCATGAAGTCTATGGACACTGAGTCTCCCGGCTGATCTGGAATGGGCAAGGGTTTGAGAAGACCTAACGAAGCGCGCGTACTGGTCTTATTACGCTGGCAAACTTTACAACTGTGGACATACTCTACGCAATCATTCTTCATCCTTGGCCAGGTGTATGCATGCATCAGATTGGCTAAAGTCTTTTGCCAACCAAAATGACCCTCTGTGTCATGGCATTCTCCCAAGATCAGACTATGGATCTCTTCACTATTGGGGATGCACAGTCGGTCAAAGACATTAGTCTTCTCAAAAAGCAACTCGTCAGTAGTGCGGTAATTCGGTTCAGTCTTTGGGGCCTCCTTGACTCTCTTGAGGAGGTCACTATAGATAGGGTCCTGCGCGTAAGCTTCTCTAGTCTTCTGCTGTAGGTCCTTCCCTATGTCTAGATAATGCACTATTGCCCCAAAGTAATCAGCTCTCCTACTCAGAGCATCCGCAACTACGTTATACTTTCCCTTCACTGGCTTGAGCTCAAAGTCATACTGATCTATCTCTGCGGCCCACCTAGTAAGCTTAGGTGTCATCTTGGCCTGTGTCTTTAACCATCTCAACGTCTCATGGTCCGAGTAGACTTTGAAGTGCCTCCCAAGCAAGTAGTGCTTCCAGTGTTCTAATGCTTGCCTGAGAGCGTAGAGTTCCCCCTCATAGGTAGATGCCGCAACCTTCTCTGAAGGCATTCTGGCGGACATGAACTCTACGGGCCTATAACCATGGCCATCGTCTTGCTGCAAAACAGCACCTATGCCGTACTGACTAGCATCCGTAGTGACGACAAAGGGCAGGGACAGATCGGCGACCTTAAGGACTGGGTATTCTATCAACGCCTGTTACAACTTTCTCATGGCAGACGTGCAGTCCTTATCCCACTTCCAGATGGTCTCCTTCCTGAGCAATCTGCGAAGGGGCGCAGCGATGGTGGAGAAGTTTCTCACGAACTTGCTATAGTAGTTGGCTAGGCCTAGAAATGACCGCAACTCTGTCAACGTACGTGGCGTCGGCCAATCTCTAATCGCTGCGATCCTGCTATCCTCTGGCTTAATGTCGTCTCCGTCTAAAACATGGCCTAAATACAAAACTTGTGTCTTTGCCCACTCGCACTTCTTTGCATTGATCTTGAAGTTAGCTTCCCTCAGCTTCTCCAAGACCTGCCTGAGATGACCTTGATGCTCTTCGAGGGTCTTACTAAACACTAGAATATCATCTAAGTAAACTACAACAAATCTATCTAACCACGGCCTAAACAAGTCATTCATACATCGCTGAAAGGTTGCTGGCGCATTGGTTAGTCCAAAGGGCATCACAATAAACTCATAGTGCCCGTATCTAGTCCGGAACCCGGTCTTGTACTGATCATCATGGTGAACCTCTATCTGATGATATCCAGACTTCAAATCTATCTTAGAGAAATACTTGCACCCCTACACTCTATCTAGGAGATCATCTATCCTAGGCAGTGGCTCAGCATTCTTTACGGTGATAGCATTCAGAGCCCTATAGTCTATACATATCCTTAGCTCTCCCTCCTTCTTGGGGACAAAGAGGACAGGTGCTCCAAAAGGAGATGAACTGGGCCTAATCCAACCCTTCTCAAGGAGCTCGTCCAACTGCTTGCGAAGCTCCTCTAACTCCCGCGGGGACATTCTATACACAACGCCCTTAGAAGTTCTACTGCCAGGCTCTATCTCAATACGGTGTTGGATGGGCCGCGGCACTGCTCCTGTCGGCGGCTCAGCTAGGTCCTTAAACTCTTCCAGCAACTTGGCAATAGCAGGGTCTATAGGCTTTTATTCCTTAGGCACAGTGACTGGCGTAACATAGGCTACGAAAACCTATTCTTCTAGCTGCTCCTTTTTCACTAATCGTGCAAATGCAGGAGCACTAAGGCAGCAATGTGCCAAGGAGTTATCTACTCCTGACACATGGTACAAACGCGCAGTCTTGACATCGCCTGACGGGCTAGGGAGCCTACACTCATGCGCCCTCAAGTGGAGTGTGGCCCCGGCTGCCTCTCCCCGGTCCATACCCAGGACTATATCAAATGGGAGGCTGTCTTCGACAAGGAGAGTCAGGGAATGGAGGACTTTCTCCACTTTCCCATCCTTCTCTAGGCGAAAGTACGCCTGGACTCCCTCTACGTAGTCCTCTACTCGCATAGTGCGATTATCCGCGAGGATACTGACTACAGGGTCTGCTAAATTTTGGACTTTTAACTGCAACTTCAGCTTCTGTAGCGCCTTCCTACGGATATAACTACGAGTGGCTCCACTATCCACTAAGGCGCCAACTCTATCTCTAAAAATCTCTGTATCTACCAATATAAGCTGCCCTTTATTCTCCTTTTTCATTTTGGCCCAGGCGGGCATCCTCTCCTTCAATTCTTCGGCCATGCCTGTGAGGGAGGTGTCTAGAGAGACCCTAACACAAGTAGTCTCTGGGCAGCTATCTAGACACCGACCTGCAACCTCTGCCGTAGGCACATGTGGTGTGGGAGTCTCCTGCCGGCTAGCGCTATTTTCCCCACATGGCCTTGTAGTAGGGGCAGTTGCTACCCCTACCGGCGTCTGCCTTTTGGCCCTTGAGCAGTCGTTCGGGTCTCTCGATACTTAGGACAGTATTTGATGATATGGCCCGGGTCACCGCAGAAAATGCACTGGCCCCGGTCCAATCGCTGTTGCCATAAGCTCTGGTCCAGACCCAAAGTTTCCCAAGGTCTACCCTGCGGTAGCCCTGGGTGCCATCCACCTACCCTATAGGGAGACCTATTCCTAGGGCGATTTTGCGGGGGACCTTGACCCCTTCCTCCCGCTTGGCGATTTCCTCCTCTGCCGCCAACCCCCTGATCGCCCTGAAACCGGCTCCCTGAGGCCCGGCCCCCTTGGCCGTGGCCTCGTCCTTCTCCTTGCGGCCTCCCTCCAGCCACGACAGCAGCGTAAGTTCTCCCCTGACCCACACCGCTGTCCTCCTCCTCTAACCCCCACTCAATCTGGTCGTAGGGGATCTCATCCACACTACCCTCATCTAAAGTTAGGACAAGACTATACTTAGTCTTCACTTGCCCTGAGATAGTGCGGCCCTTCCATTGCTTTCCCTTATCTAAGTCCTTGTGCCAGAATGTAGAAACTGACACCGACTTTGCTTCAAAGGCCACCACTTCACGGCTAAGGGAATCGTACATGGTGGCAGGATCTTCGCTCTTGGCGAAGAAATGCCCTCGGAAGGCTTCGGGCATCGCCCGATAGAAGAGGGCGACCAACTGGGTGTCTGTGACCCCATGATCAGGTATAGCCACTAACTCGTCCATTGTACTCTTAGGTGCTCTGGCGCTCTTCCACTTACGAGCGTGGATTGTCTGGAGCTTATCCGAGGCTTTGACACTTCGAGCGACATCTACAAATCGCTCGAGCAGCAGTTTCATAAAGTCAACGAGGGGGGTGAATGACGAGTACGCAACTGCATCATCATTGCAGTTGGCAGCGCGAACTAGGGACCTTGCAAAGCTGGCGGCCTCATCTCTAAGCGCGTGGATCGCAATCAAGACGTGCTGATCCGTGGAGACCTGTTGCAGGTGCACGTAAGTCTTGACGTTGGCCTCCCAGTTGTCAAAGTTCTCTTCCCTTTTCCCACTGTAGGAATCAGGGAACTTGACTTTGACTGGCTCCCTACGAGGACGTGCTTCTTCTCCCTTGGGAGCTGCACCTTGACGCCCTCAATGGCGCCGACACAAAAACGCTCAGTCTTCTCGAGGCGATGATTCACCTCGGCCCCCACAACACCTTTCAGCTCACGCGCAAAGTCCCGGAGTCCCAGTCGCATCGAACACACAACTATATCTTGACTCCGGCTAAAGTCATATTGTTGTTCTTGCGCCCTGGCTAAACGCTCGACGCTCTGGGCAATGATCTCCACTTTACGTTGGATATCCACCTGCGGAGTCAGTTGTGTCGTTAAGGTCCGTACATGCTCTAATTCCTGCATTGCTACACTCGCCGCATCCACTCTTTTCTTCTTCTCCCTCATCATTGCGAGTTTCCACTCCACCCTCGTTTCATCTTCCATCGCCTGCCGTTTCAGAACATCTTTTTCTGTATCCCATTTTCCCATAGCGGCTTCCTGCTCATCCTTGGGGATATACATCATCACCTCTTCTTCCTCGCCCAGGGATAAGTTGGCGACCCACTCCGAAATCTTCTTCTCCATTTCGTCACCTTTGCTGCCGCTGTGCTGCCCGTGTACGGCTGGGTGGAAGTGCCACCCCGGGTCCCTACTCTACATGTAAAAGTGGGCCAAAGTCCCAGAGGAAAGAGGAGACGCCAAAGGGTCCCCCAGAGGGAGAACCCAACAAGCAACCCATACATCGGATAGTCATCCATCGTGGTGTCAGGTGCATGACAAGGGTCCCACTCCTCACCACTTAGACCTACCCGGACACTGACCTACCGACTGACTCTCTGAGATCACTACTCAAAACTATTCTAAAGCTGTCACTACTGAACCATCAGCTGATCTGGAGGCATTTAAGGAGATCCCCCAAACTCCGCAAGAATTCTTTAACGTCGCAGTCAGGACGACGTGATCAGTGTGGTTCTGCCTGTGCTTTCAACCCACAACTCAGCCTTTCCGGCCTACTGTGCCACACCGAGCAGCCCGCCGGTCTGTACCGGTCCTTGTAGGGGTTCGTGTCCCCCGGGACAGTCGAGTCGTCAGACACAGATCATCAGCCTTGGTCCGGTAGGGGGGTGGTTCAAACAGGCCCTCAATACTTAAAGACTGGCTGGTGTGTCAGCCTTAGCTGCCGTTCAGGCCCACTGAGTCCTACCAACCGTTTCCAGCCGGTCAGCACCGGTCCTTGGGAGGGTTATGCCCCCCTGGAAAGTTGGATCAGCCCCAGCCTCAGCCCTACGAAGTGAGACTCAGGTTTCGTCATCCAACCCTATCCTTCATCCACAGAGTCCTAACACCTAGGACAGAAGAGACTCAATGCAGAAAGGAAAGACAGACAGACTCAGACTCAGCAAGTACCGTAGGGTGAGTGCACATCCACAGGGTATAGGCTAAGGGCTCGACAAGGTATTACCAACTCCAGCTTGGACAAAATCTTGGTCAGCAGCTCCGGTCAACGCCTTGGTCAACGCTCAGTCAACGCAAACAACTCTTGGTCAACGCCTGGCCAACCCTCTGGTCAACCCTTGGTCAACCCTTCACCTCGGCTATGGCTGCCGGCACCTTCACCTTCGTCACCCTCGTCACTTCCTTCCCCCTTCCTTCACCTTCTTCTTCCTCACTGTCTTTCTTCTTCTATCTCTTTTTTT